TTCCAAGACTGACATTTTGAAAGCAGAACACCAGGACTGTCTTCCCACTTCTCTGGGCGGTTTGAACTACTAACCTTTGCACTAGTAGTCGAGCACTTAATCATTTGTGCCACCCCCGGACTTCCCTAAAGATTATCGTTGTTGTTAATTGCCATTCCAGTTGGTTCCAACTTATAATGACCCTATAGAAGGACAAAATGCTGTGCCGTCCTAAGAATACTTGCTGTGGTAGAGCCCTAAAGATCACAGGCACAAACACCTCATGTCGGAGTTCTACGTGGTAGCACATGGAGTCGTCATAAGACAGCATCGACGCAATGGCAGTGGTGATGGTTTTCGGTTTCTCAAGGTATGTCTCATTGGTCTTTCCTCAAATACTCATTATAGTATCACGTTCTCTGTCTTTGGGCTGATTGGCATAGGTATTTTAGGTCTTTAAAAACCTCTGCAATTAGTACAGATTCTAGAGTTTATGTTATGCTTTATCATTGCACATAGGCATAAATTCCCAGCATTGAAAACATGATTAAGTATGACCTTCATATGTGATTTTCCTCTGCAATTTTTCTTTTGATAACTGTCTTCAGATTATTTTCTGGCTTTTAGTTTGACACTCTCTATCGTGTCGGAAATAATATGTAACCGGTGTTTCTGTGTGTTTGGCGGTGGGGTGGAGTGTGAATTCCTGTTCATATACCAACTGGTAGCCTGAACGGACGTTGCCAAACGCCCACATTTCTCTTGCTACCGGGTGCCGTGGAATCATTTCCAACTCAAGGCAACACTGTGGACATCAGAAGGAAACATCGCTGCCGGATCCCGTGTCAGGCTGGAAATGGGTGGGCTTGAGGCTACGGTTGCAGCCCATGTGTCCTTCCGGCTCCTGGACAGCCTGCCTCTTTTCCACTGACCTTCTATGTCACAAGCTTGTGTCATTAGCATATCAGAGGTTTTTATTAATTTTACTCCAATTCAGATGCTGCATTCTTCTCTAAATAATCCAGCTTTGGGGGTTATTTGCTCAGTATACAGATTGAGTAAGTCTAGTGAAATGATACCATCCTGTCACACACTTTTCCTGAATTCAAACTACTCAGCATCACCTTGTTCTTTTTGCGGGAACATATCTTGGTACAGATTCTGGATGCACAAAATGAAGTGTTCTGGAATTTTTATCCTTTAAAAATTATCCATAGTTAATTATAATCCATACAATGGATTGTCTTTGCATAACCAGTAAAACACAAGTAACCATCTTGCTAGTATTCTCTGATCTCAGCCAAGATCCATCTGACATCAGCAAAGCTATTTCTGGTGCTGCATCCTCTTACGAATCCAACTTGAATTTCTGTCATCGCCCTGCCGATGGACTGCTGCCACTGCTGTGGAGTGATCTGCAGCATGTGTTGTTGGTGATAGTATTCAGTACTTTCTGCATTCTGTTGGGTCTTCTTTCTTTGCACTGGGCCATAATTATAGAGCTCTTCCAGTTGGGAGCCAGGTAGCTGCCTTATGAATTTCTTAGTATACGCAAATGAGCCCTTCCAATGCTCCTTCAGCTTGCTGAAACATTTCAATTCGTATTCTGTCAATTTATGGACCCTTGTTTTTCACTAATGCCTTTAATGCAGCTTGGACTTCTTTCTTCAGTGTCATAGCTTCTTGATCATGTGCTACCTCTTGAAATGGCTAAATGTTGACCAATTCTTTTTGGTACAGTAATTCTGTGTATTACTTCCACCCTTTTTGATGCTTCCTACACCATTCATTATCTTGCCAATAGAATCCATGTGTTTCAATTTGAGGTTTGAAATTTTTCTACCATTCTTCCAGCTTCAGATACGCTGATCATGTTTTTCCTCTTACTTTCTAAATCCAGTGTTCGCATTTCATTGTCATACTCTACTTTGTCTATTTGGGCTGTCCTTTGAAATTTGCTGTTCAGCATTTGAAATACCAATGACATTGCTTCCAGCATCACAGCAACACACAAACTACCAGAGTATGACAAATTGACAGACAAGTGGTAGAATAAAATGACAATGTTCAATGTAGTAAGAACAAATGACAACTTCATGTCCTTTGATAGCACAAATAGATAAGCATTCAGCCATTAATTAACAAGTTGGTGGTTTGAATCCACCCAGGAGCACTTTGAAAGAAAGAGTTGACCACCTACTGTCCAATGACCAGGCACTGAATACGTATGAAGCACAGTTCTTCTCTGGTCTACATGCGGTTCACAAAAAACAAAGGAACCCACTGCCATCAAGTAGATTCCGACTCAGAAAAACACTGTAGGACTGAGGACAACTGCTCCTTAGGGTTCTGAAACTGTACACTGGAGTGCAAATGGGATTGCCAGCACCTGGAAAATGATAACATACATTAGCTTAATGCTTTAGTCACAGCATTATTTCAAGAAACTCTATTATATCTCACTGTCTTTGCATTTTTCCAGGGGATAAATATCATATTTCTCTAATTTCTTTTAATGATACACTTACATTTTTTAAATGCATGTTTTATAAGCGATTGGCAACAAAATTCACAAACTCAATAGTTTTTAATCCAAAACAAGATCTATTTAATAAATCTTTATATAGGAAATATAGGCCATGCACATCAGTCTTCAATTTTCAATCTTGCGGGCCCAGCAGTGATCCATATATAGCGTCTTAGTGCCTTCATGTTTCTCTGCCTGAGCTCAAGGCCTGGTTACAGCAGACGAGGTTGATGCTTATGTGTGATTTTATCATAGTGTAACATGTCTTTGAGCCATCAATACCTCTTTGAAGACAAATTATAAAACAAATTTTCCACTGTTAAAGAAAAAAGGAACAAAGCAAGAAAGGATGGCTATTATGTGAAAATACAGAGGCATGCCCTTTTCTCGATTACTTTACTTCAGTTTTTAAGATGAAAACTTTCAAATCAATGGTTACAGATTTTACAATTGTGCTATCTTGATAGAGAAAGAATTGGAATTTGGCAGGAATGGAAGGCAAAATTTAAACTCAAATTGCTGCAAAGAAGTGTATTGAAAGAATAGAACTGTTTTTGCTTATTTTTGTCCGTTTTGTCTTTTTTTGCTGTATAATTTGTTTAAATTTCAAATACTGTTATACACAATAAGATTGTGATGTTATTCTGGATATACATAGAATTTATTCTGTGTTCATGAAATAAAGAGGCGTTCCTTATTGAAAGGTGATTACTCTCTGAGTACTACTAAAATTTCTTTAAGGTAGCTCAGAGTGTGACAGCATCAGGGCACTCAGCATAAACTTGTTGCTTGACTGGAGCACAAGAATGGGGGAGATGCAATATAAAGCACGTAAATGGAATGTTGCAATATAAAGCATGTAAACAGAATGTTGCAATATAAGCATGTAAATGGAATGTTGGCATAGGATAGTTAGTCCAAAGCTACTGCAGTCAGTTTTGTGTAGTAATTTCTGGCAATAATTTGGTGAGCTTTACACATCTCTCATTTGGGTGTGTAGAGTATCAGTATCCAGTTAGTTTTTGTGGGGAGCAGGGGAGGGGTTCTACTCTGTACCAAGCATAATTTTAAGTAATTTAAATGGATTAACAAATCCTTACAAAAATATTATGAGGGAAATATCATTATATTTCATTATCTTCTTTGTTTTATAGATTAGAAACTTGAGGGACAAAAAGGTTAATTACTTATTTAATTACTTATGTTCACAGGGCTAAAAACTGGTAAATTTGAGAATCGAGCCTTTGTGGTCACAGGAATTGTTCTGTTGTACTTAAGACCATTGTGAGTCGGAACTGCCTCATGGCCTTTAACAACACAACAGTAGGGATTAATTAGTGAACCTTCAGTAGTGATGTGATAGTATTTTATTTTGAAAATATAGGCTAATTCATTTTGGCTTATATGAGTTACATTTTTACCAGTGACTATCAAGTTTCCCTATATCTAAATTTATCAAAGTTGCTAAGGCATCTATTTTATCTCAGCCATTGTGATGAGTATTATTGCATTGAACAGATTAACTATGGAACTTTTGGATACAATGAATGCAAATGAGGCATAAAATGGAAGATGTAATTTAAAAATTATTATTTCACTTTCATGCAGAATATACATTTTTGAAAAAATATTTTCTCTATTTGTATGATATATAGTGCACATGCAATAAATAAGAACAAATAATCTTAGCATTTCATGGGAAGGATAGTGTTGAGAAATTTTTCAACTGTGTGTAATGTTTTTTCCCAAGATAATTATAAATATCCTCTTGGCCAGGCAAAAAACAAAGAGCCTAATTTACTGCCATTGAATTGTACTGTTTCATAGAGACCCTGTAGGTCAGGGGAGAACTTCCCCTGTGGGTTTCTGAGGTTGCCACTCTTCACTGGAGCAGGTAGCCCCATCTTCCTCCTGAGGAGTAACTGGGGGTTCAAACTGCTGACCTTGCAGTTAGCAGCACAACTCGTAACCTCTGCAAAACTGAAGCTTCTCTGACCAGAGCAGATTGCTCATTCATTTGTTTATCAAATACATGTTGTGTAGCTCTAAGTCCTAGGCCCTGCTGTGAATCTTGAAATTACAGTAATAAAACAAAACAAAGACAAAATATTATATCCTTCTTCAGTCTAGGTATGGAGTCAGACATTACATAAATTGTGAGTGGGCAATAATTTGAAGTAAAAATACAGGGAGAGAGGAAGTGCTTTGAAACTAGAAACTAAAGGATAAGGAAGCATTACTCAATTGAAGAAGAAAGAGTATTTGATGATGGAATATTCCAGGCAGAGGAAAAGAAATGTGCAAAATCTTTGAGAAAATAAAAAATACAGGCTGAAATAAGAGTGTGGTTTTTTTTCTCATCCTTTTTTCAGATAGAGTGATAAAGCAGCTAATCAACTTCCATGCCAAGAAACAGAACAAATGTTATAAATATTTATGACTTTATTTCTATTCATCCTTCATTTAGATCACATTGATATAAATCCATGAATATTCTTCATCATCATTGTAAAGAGACAATAAAATTTAGATAGGTATAAAATAGGTGGCATAATGAGACCAGCAGCAAAAATTCTGTAGAGTTAGGAGTAGTGGTGGTTAACAGAGTCAATAAAAGAAGTTTTCAAAACCTTTTCCACAAACTTTAAGATGAGTTAAATGACATGACTTTCCTCTAAGAATAGGTCTTTAAAGGATTAGGATATGTTTTCTCTATTTTCCAATGTACATGACATTTAAGATTTGTTTAACATGCAAAATACATAGTTATCTAAGAAATACCATTACTTCCACAAAGTCTAGAAAGTGTAGCGATGTGGAATTTATTTTAAGAGAAAACTCTTCCAATTCAAGGGGCATGTTTCTTATTTTATTACTTTTACCATCGATAGAGTGCTGTAATCAGTTAACATTGTTTTGAATATTCAGTGAAATTTGCTTTGAACCATGAGATTATTTTGGTTGATTTTACACTGAAGAGATTCTTTTCAAACATTCTTTGTCTTTCCTTGTATTTTTATATCAACTCAGAATCTATTTCATTGCTAAGATATCTTTCTCCCTCAAAAGTATTTTGATAACTCCTTCTCGGATCTGCTTTGTCTTGACTCCATAAACAATGGGGTTCAGGGTTGGAGGAAACATCAAATAAAGATTGGCAATAATAATATGGACATGGTGTGGAATGCTTTGTCCCCCAAAACGATGGGTAAAAATAGTAAATAAGGCTGGAACGTAAGTTATAACAATAGCACATATGTGAGAGGTACAGGTGCTGAAGGCTTTGTGACGAGCATCTGCTGATGACAAACTCACCACTGCCCTCAAGATCATTGTGTAAGACACTGAGATACAAAACATATCAAAGCCTCCAATCAGGAGAGCTGCCAAGAGACCATAGATAGCATTGACCTTGAAATTGCCACAAGACACTTTGGCCACAGACATGTGGTCACAGTAGGTGTGAGGAATGACATTTCCCAGGCAGTAGGGCAGGCGCTTGGTGAGGAAGGTGAATGGCAGGATGAGCATCACACTCCTCAGGAAGGTGGCAAGGCCAGCCTTGGCGATGACAGGGTTGGTGAGGATGGTGGAATATCTTAGAGGGTAGCAAATGGCCACGTAGCGGTCTAGTGCCATGAGCATCAGCACTCCAGACTCCATCGCAGTCAGTGTGTGTACAACAAACATCTGCACCAGGCAGGCATTGAAGTCAATCTTTTTGAGGTTGAACCAGAATATGCACAGCATATTGGGCACAGTGGTGGTGCACAAGGTGACATCAGTGAAGGAGAGCAGGGCCAGGAAATAGTACATGGGTCGGTGCAGAGCCTCCTCATGGCTGATGAGATACATGAGGCCACAATTCCCCACTACAGCGATGATGTACATGAAGCAGAATGGCAGGGAGATCCAGATGTGTGAAGCTTCCAGCCCGGGGACGCCATTCAAGAGAAAGAACCCTGGGCTCAGGCTGGAGCAGTTAGTCTCAGCCATAATGATTCATAAAATGACATTCTTCTTTCTTTCACGGTAATTTCTTTCTGCATATCAGGAATACAGAGAGATGAAGGTAGGGACCAGATAAGAGGGAATGATCTAAACAGGAAGACTAAAACGTCATGAAATTTCCTCTTGTTCTGATAATCGGATTTTTTCCAACTCTAACAAGATAGTCTTCTATCTCTAATGTTTAAAATTAAGTAGCACAACTTTACATTACAGTATGATTTTCCTATCTAATACTTTGCTTACCTGACTATCCTCACCTCTACTATCCTCTTGCACTTTTAAATTCTAAGAACAAGACATAGCTGGCATTGCAATTGTCCTCTTCCTTCCAATAAGCTATTCCTGTTCCCTACTCTCAGATTTCCCCCAGCCTATTTCTCCATGGGTCCAGGCAGTAAAATCATGAGAGCATCATTATCTCACCCAAATATGACCTGTCCTTATCTTTACATTAACTTTGCAGTTTTAATGATATCTAAAACGTTGACATATTTGTCCTGATTTTAATATTATGAAGAATATTTCTGGTTCATGTCAGCATTGTCAATAATTTCTTTGATAGCTTACTCAAGATTATATATTCTAAATTTTCAGTAAAATAAATGAAAATAATGAATGATCAATTTAGTAAAAATTAAATGTTAACTATTCAAACTCTTTATCTGATATCAATATGTAGCTGTGATATCACATAGGACTTTCTTGAAAAAGAAAAAAATATTCTATATACCCCAAATTAGTAAGTTTTAGAAAATTTTAGTAGGTTTTTATATTAGACATATTTAATTTGGTCCACATGGAAAAAGCACATCAGCTTTTAGATAATAAAATCCTAATATGGAGGAGTGAATGGTACTAGAGCTTAAATTCTGAATATGCAGTTTTATGGATGAGAGTGAAAGTCCCAAATCCACTTGCCAGGGCCCATATGATTTGTGCTTCTGGTGCATCCCCTCTGATCATGGATCAAGGATGAGAATAGCTTTGATATCAAACCGAGTGGATTGTAGGGTGGATTACTGCAGATGTATGTGCCGTGGGTTCACATGTGATACCTTGTCATTTGATCTCTCTTTTGATGGAATGTATATTTGTTCCAGTCTCTCATGTTTTCTCTTTGATTGAAGCTTTTCTCTGTTTTATTCTGTCATGTTGTTGAGTTGCGGTTTTTTGGTGTTTGTTTGTTTTGATTTTGTATGTTTTCTGTGTATAGAATCCAGAATAGATAATTCTATAGATAAAGTAAATGGATTAATGGTTTCCTAAGGACATGCCAGGGGAAGTTATCAGGAAATACGGAGCTAACAAGAAGTACAAAAAAGAAAAAATTTCCTAAATTGATTGTGGTGATAATTACACAACTCTTTTTAACATGGTTGAACTTTTGAAATGTGTTATATGTTAATGAAACTGATAAAAACAACTAAGAAATTGTGGGGGGAAATATCAAATTTGTTCAGATACAATATCCTTTTCTTTTGGTTTCCTTATCTTGAAAAAATTTAGAATTCCTTTCTCTATCCCCAATTGACTCAAAATACCAAGGCTTATGAGACTAGCATAGGACCTGGCAACACATTCTGCTACCTATGACAAGTCAGAGCAGATTCGATGGTAATTAACAACTCGTCTTCAGTGTTAGAATTACAGCTTGAAAACCCTTGGAGTTTTAAGGAAAGGACTACCTTTTCTTATTTAATTTAAATAAAATCTCTTTAGTTATAACTGGAGAAGTGATCAGAAAACACACACTATCATATCTATGTGCTATTCTTTGATACTGAGAAAAAAAATGATTGAAAGATATTCTAAATTTACCGACTCGGGAATAGCAAATTTACCAAATATAGCAAATGATTACTAATTCAAATATATATATCACTTCTCATATATTTTACTGAGTATCTGCAATGTATAATCTTGAAAAAGTTATATGAGACATAATTGGAAAATTTTATATGGAATGGAGATTTTTTATTATCATTTTTAAGGCTAGACCAAAGTATTCATTTTTTGAGCTGCTGAAGTGGAAAGTTAAACTGTTAATGAGGACTGGTTAGAATAAAGAGATGATCTAATTACGCAGATGATTTTAGTGATAAAACTCATGTTAGGGGAGGAAAATTGAGGGATCCTAGTCATTAAAGGAGGACCCCTGGTGGCCTAGTGGCTTACATGTTGGCCTGCTGACCACAAGTTCAGCAGTTCAAAATCATCAGCCATTCCTTGGGAGAAAGATGTGGCTGTAATGAATTAAAATATCAGAAACTCACAAAATCAGTTCAACCTGTCCCATAGGGTCACTATGAGTAGTATTCAATTTGATGGCAATGAGTGAGAATGGAATGGTTAAAATATTTCTGTTACTTGAACAAATGAAATAACATAACGAGAATATTCAATGCCACTGAATCATACATAAGAAGCCAGCATGGCGTAGCTGATTACAAGGGACTGTTCAATCCCAACAACCATTCTGCGAGAGAAAGATGAGGCTTTCTGCACTGTGAAGACTTATAGCCTTGGACCCCTACGTAGATGCAACGGGATGAAAATGGGTTGGGTTTTGCTTTATAACTGTGCATGTGAAGGTTACTGACATGGAAAATATTTTGTTACTAGATTTTTAACGATAAAAATAAGAAGAAAATGATGCATAAGCCCCAGAATAGACCATACAGCAGAGTAAATGCCAAACATTCACACCATACAGCAGAATTAAATAGACATGTACTATGTGATACTATAATTCACATAGGTCTAAAGCCACCTAGTATATGTTCCTACATCTTCAGCACTCAGAAACTACTCCTGAAGTTGTGGCTGATCCTACTTACCAGAGTCCATAGAATTTGGAGGGAAGGAAATACAAGAAAAGTATAAGATTTAGAGCTTGACGGCCTCTGTTTCCAAAACTGATAAATCGCAAGTAAATTCTAGTTTCCTGTAAACGAGCATTCAGTCTCCCTCCTAAAATTTCGCAACTCGGAGAAACAATCATTGCCCAATTCTGCCCCAGATAAAGCTGAAGATCAAAATTTCCAGTGTCCTCAAGCTTTTATTTGTACAGCATGATGAAATTAGTTGAACCCATGGAAAATGGGACTAGGTCCAATTAAAGCACACAAAAAGAAACATAATCAATACCTCCAAAGAAGTGCAAGCAAACAAGAACTGCGTCGCCTCTTGCTAACATTGCCACTTGGCAACTGCCCTATATTCCAAGTTATGGTATTCTTAGCGAGAAATTTTTATTTTCCGAAGATAATAATATTTTTAGAAATTCCCCAAACTCACTTTAGGAGCAGGTACAATTAATTCCTTCTTCATGGTTGAAAATCCTGAGGAGTTCTTCAAATTCTCGGTTGACATCTGCTTACATAGGGGTTTTAGTTTCCTGGGGGAATCACTAGCAAGGTGTCTCCAGGTTTTTTGAGGTCCCCAAAATTAGAACCCTCGAGGGATCTATTAGAAAGGAAATGAACCTTGCGTATGATGGCAACAGAGCTGTGTTTAGAAGTTTTTGAATATAAAACGAACAAAATAAGTCAGCGTTTAAAGCATTTTCCCAGGTGGGAAATACAGCCACCACGCCTGGTGGTGATGAGCACAGCTTGACTTTTTTATTCTTCTTCTAATAATACAAGAAATGCATCCTTGGTGCAGAAAATCTGGAAAATACAGAAAAATGTAATCAAGATTTGGAAGTCACTTGTAATCCCACTCAGAAATTATCACAGTACAAAGAGTTATTTCATTTATTTATTTAATTAGTATTATATATATATAATAGACTGACTTTTAAAAATAAATTTCAAACCACATGGAGTTTTGTACCCTCTTACTTTTAGGTATAATATTATTTTTGAACAGCTTTTCGTAGTATTAAAAGTGAGTGGAAGATATAATTGAAAGGAAAATGTTATGGAAGTTAACTTTCTTTCTCATAATTAGCTCCATCAAAATCAAGACAATTTTGTAAGTGATTATACCATCCAGTTAGTCCATCCCTGAATAACTTGAGTGTCCTGGGAATTTAACCACTTCAATATAGTCTTTTTTTACATTGCTAACTGAAGAAAAATGGGTGCCCTTTAAATATTTTTTGAGATAAAAATAATGATAACTTCCTGGCCTAGGAGTTGATGCTGACTCATAGCAATCCTATAGGACAGGGTAGATCTACCCCTGTGGGTTTCTGAGGATATTCTGTCCAGGGGCAAAAAGCCTCCTCTTTCCCTCTCAGAATGGCTGGTGGTTTCAAACTTCTCACTTGAGGTTGATAGCCTATCACATAATCCATTGTGCCACCAGGGCTCTTGAGTTTAAGATCAGGAAACAAAAGGAAGTCAGGTTCCAAATTACTATTGGATGGTGAAGGCATAATGATTTCCCATTGAAAATGCTCCTAAATTTGTCCTTATTTGATTAGAAAAATTAGTAGAAGCATTGTCATGGTGGAAAAGGATTCTGGAAATGGTTTACTGGGCATTTTTCTGCTAAAGTATTGGCTATTTCTCTCAAAATACTATCATAATAAGTAGATGTTATTGTACTTTGGCTCTCCAGAAAGCCAATATGAAAAATGCCTTACATGTACATCAAACAACTATTGCCATGAATTTAGCTCATGGCTCATCCGTCTTTACTTTGGGCAAATTCTACCTCTTTGATGGTGGTTTGTCTTCAGGAGTGTACTGATAAAGCCATGTTTTATCTACTGTTACAATTCTTCAAATAAATGCTTCAGGATCGAAGCCCAACACTGTGGACATCCCTGGAATAGGAAACTTGCTGAACTTTAATTTTTCAGACAAAACTATAAACTGAGCCACTTGAGATGTCTATGATGACTACTTGTCTGCTGTCAGTTACTGGTCCTCTTCAGGAAGGGCATTAACAAGATTGTTTCCTCGTAAAATTTTAAGAATGATCTTAGGCTGCACGCTTCAATTGCAGCATCAACTTGTTCCTTCTGAAAATGAGTTATCTATTTGTAAACTGCTTACTTCTCTGGGCCATTATCCCAGTAAATTTCCTATGCAGCATCAATGATGTAATCATTCTTCCACCATCGCTTCCCCATGAATTTGATGTTTGCTCTTGTTTAGCAGACTTTATGGTGTCCTGATTAGGAGCTCTTTTGTGATGTCTTGTCCTTCTTAGTGCATCAAACTTCATCCTGTTTAGATATATCATATCATACTAGTACACCCTGATTCTGGTGCTACTCCCACCCCACCCGAATGAAATCCATAAAGTGATGCTTGATAAGCATTTTCCATGAAAATTTTGAAGACATAGTTTATTCTGACTGAGCGCTACTCTGTATTTGTCACAGTAAACATATTCTCCGCAGGGTTTCAATGACTGATTGTTCAGAAATAGATCAACAGGTCTTTTTCTATGGGTGGTCTTGAACTTCCAGCCTTATATTAGCAGCCACGCATGTGAATTGTATGTACCACCCAGGGACTCCTTCAATAAAATAGTGTGCTAAATTTAATGAAAGACTTCCTTATTGTTGACTAGAGCCCTGGTGACGTGGAAGTAATGTCTTGGGCTGCTATCCTCAAGGTGAACAACCTCCTGCTCCGAGGAGAAAGATGAGGCTTTCTACAACAATAAAGAGTTGCAGCTCCAGAAACCCACGGGGGCAGTTGTACCCTGTCCTGGGGGTTTCTATGAGTCAGAATCGACTGGATGACAGTGAGTTTAAAAAATTCTTGAATATTTAAATTACTTTTGTCTATCAAAAATAATTTTTAAAGCCTTATCTCCTCTGTTCATATGAGTGACTTTTCTTCTCAAAATAACTAGAAGTGAGGTTTAAAAGATTAAAAAGTGGACCTTGTATAAGGAAGATAGAAGAAGAATAGATCCATTTGAATTATGGTGCTGGGGAACCCTAATGTTGAAAGTACCATGAACTACCAAACAACAAACATATCTGCCTTTGAAAAGTATAGCTAGGGGGCTACTAAGAGACAAGGATGGTGAGACTGAGTCTCATGGACTCTGGACATATTGTCAGGGGAGACCAGTGCTTGGAGAAAGCCATCATGCTTGCTAAATTCAAGGAGGTGGGGCAGCAAAACAACAGGAATGCCCTTGGCAAAGTGGACTGACACAGTGGCTGCAACAATGAGCTGACACATAAGAACAATTGTGCGGCTGGTGCACGACCAGGCAGGGTTTTGTTCTGTTCTACATAGGGTTGCTATGAGACCATATTCAATAGCACCTCGCAAGAACCACAGCAAAGTTTAAAGGCACAAGCCATTGAAATTAGGTTATTAAATGATCAGCACAAATTATCAAGATAAAATTGTATTGGATATTACTTCTCTACACAGTGAGAGGACTGCATCTCTCTAAGTATTTATTATGATCACTTCATCCTGGGTAGGTAAGAATGGTTTTGTGCCCTTTGTTGGGAGCTGCGGCATCAACAACAAGGGCAAGTACTGAGGTCTTCTCTTGCTGGGAAGCACGGTAGCCACTGACAAGGCTGTAAGCAGCACGATAAACAGGACAAAAAGCCTGTTTGGGCACAGCTCTGGAAGTCAGCGCCTTTGGAAGCGCTCTTCTTGTGGAGGGAATGGTATTAGAAAAAGTGGGTGAAGGGAGCCGTCAGACAGGGCAAGATATGGCAAAATAATAATTTATAAATTATCAAGGGTTCATGAGGGAGGGGGGAGCAGGGAGGGAGGGGGAAAAAATGAGGACCTGATGCCAGGGGCTTAAGTGGAGAGGAAATGTTTTGAGAATGAAGAGGGCAATGGATGTACAAATGTGATTTACACAATTGATGGATGTATGGATTGTGATAAGAGTTGTACGAGCCCCTAGTAAAACATTAAAAAATAAAATAAAATGTTTTTTCTCAAAAAAAAAAAGAAAGAAAAAGTGGGAGTTGAAGGCAGGCAGCCACATTTTGTCATTAGACAGTGTGTCTGAGTCCAGCTGGTCACGAATGACAAGAAAATCACAGCCCGCATGCCCAATAATGGTTGCATGGATTTTATTGAGGAAAACAATGAAGTTCTTGGCGCTGGATTTTCTCACAAAGGTATTGCTGTAGGTGACATCCTGGATTCTGTTTTAAGGTTGTCAAAGTAACCAATGTGTCACTTTTGGCCTTATACAAAGGCAATAAAGACCATGATCGTAAGCTTTGATGATTACAATGGGGCATTAATAATTTCTCTTTGCCAGAAAAGCAAAATAAAAGAATGTTATTCTTGCTGGAGTGAGCTTATTTGAATTCACATTAACTTTATTAGTATTTATTATAAGTATGATTTAAAAAAAATGTTTTTGGAAAATTGTTTCATCCTTCTATGATTATTCATTCACTTCCTTGTGAATATTTTCTTAGTGGAGATTTTAGTGCTCATTTTATTTAAATATTCAGTAAAACAGTCCATTTTCAGTCATAGTTTGCAAACATTTTTCCAAAACAGATTTATTTTATGATTATTTAGATTTTATTTCATGATACCCAGAGTATGTTAATACAGGTAGACTAGAGACACAAATCCAGGGAGACTCATCTGGATATGACAGTTTTATATAAAGGGTACTTTAAGAAAGACTCCCAGCCCAGTTCAGATCAAGTCCATAATTTCGATATTAGTCCATATGTCTGATACAGATCCATAAAGTCCTCTTCAGACTCACAAAACACATGCAATGACACTGAATGCAGGATGATCACAGGCCAGTGGGTAGAAAGTCTTTGGATCCAGTGGCAGTATAAGCATCTCAGCGCTGGCAGGGGTGTCCACATGGCTTCTCCAGCTATGGGCACAAGCGTAGTTCCATGTGTCTTGTCAGTATAGGGTCTTCCAGGGTGTGAATAGAGAGAGTGTGTTTTACACCTCCAAGGTGGAAATACTAGAATTCCCAGAATTCTCAGGAGAGAGCAATGCCCACACAGAGGCCTCATTGGCTATGATCTGATTGACAGACTAGACTCCACCCCTCTGCTCATAATTCTCTCAAATTGATACCAGACTATTTAACTACCACACAGAGCTTGTATTTTCAAATCTTTAAAATAATTATTTTTTCCAAAAGCATTTTATTGGGAGTTAATACAAATATCATATGAATCCATAGTTCAATCACATCAAGCAATATTGCACACTTGCTACCACAATCAGTTTCAAAATATTCTCTTCCTTCTTGAACTTCTTGACATCAGCTCCCTTTTACCACCCCCACCCCATACAGTACCCCCAAGAAACCCTTATTCTATATGCTGTCTTTATAGGTTCATCAGTCCTGGGTTTCGTATACTGAAAAACAGAAAAACATAGAACACAAATTCAAGAGGATCACTCCCAATGACAAAATACATCTGAGATAAACCGCAATATGAACAAAAACAAACAAACAAAACACATAAAATGTGGAAAACCAGATCAAGTTCAACTTGCATCAGGAGGGGGATCAACTGACAAGGTTTTAACCATTCAATTTAGGTTTATCCCTTTGATCTCTTATATATGTCGTCTTTCTAATGCACTTTGTCTGGTAACCAGTTTCTTCCCGTCTCTCTACTGTGGAAAGAGGGGAATCCCGGGAGGCTTGTTTCCTGTGGAGATCTCACAAATGCATCTTGGGCTCTGGTCATCCACAGCCTTCTGTAACTGTACTCTTACAATCTAGGCTCTGATTGTAGTTCCTCTGTCGTCTTCGGATTATATGATTCACAGACCTTCTGTCACGGAAGGTGCCTCTTCCATGTGGACTTAGTTGACATCTCACTTAGATGGTTGCTTGTTTGAAGACAAGCATTTAAGACCCTAGAAGCTATTTTATCTGATAGCTGGGCACCATCTAATTTCTTCACCACATTTTGCTATAGCACCCATAAGTTCTGTGTTCGCTTCCTATGGGCAAGTATTGAGCTAGGGTCATGATTTTATTTTGCTTTGTTTTTTTAACAGTTTTATTGACATATAATTTACATATAATACAATTCAATAGTTTTATCATATTAAAAAGAGTTGTGTGATCATGTCCACAGTAAATTTTAGAACATTTTTTACTTTCTTGTATGAATTGTTATTAGGTCCCTATTTCCCTCTACCAACCTCTGCCATACGTCTGGGTAATTATTAATCCATTCACTGCTTCTATAGATTTATCTATCCAAGATTTCATATATAGAAAAACATACAAAAATCCAACAACAACAAAATAAGAAAGAGAAAACCCACAATAAAAAAAGCAGAAAAGATGAAAACCTAGTACAAGTTTAAAATGGGCATAAAGTGAGACCAAATGAAAAGGTGTTAAATTTTAAGCTAACCACATCTGAAATAATCCACTTTCCAGTGCACGCTGACTGATAGCAAGGCTAGTCACATCTTCGTTCTATGGGCATAGGAGATTCAGCAGAGGCTTAAGCTGCAGAGGTCTATGGGGATCCTGCAAATTCATTTGGGGCTTTCACTCTCATCCACGGCCTTTTACAAGCCAAGTGCTCAGGATTTGAGAGCTAATACGGTACCATCCCTGGTCATCAGTAATATTATTTATAATCACTATGTGTTAGACCAGGTTGACAAGAGAAACAAATCCAAAGACACTCATATGTGTAAGAGAGAGCTTTATATCGAGAAATAACTATATCTCAGGGAAAAAATTCCAGGCCAGTCAACTCAAGTCCATGTGTCCAATACTAGTCCATCAATCCCTTTGAACAGACACAAAGCCACATGTAATGATGCAGAATGCAGGAACATCACCGGCCAGTGGGTACAAAGTCCCATGAATCCAATGAAGTTGGTTCTGGTAGCTCTGCAAGTGACCCATCAGCAGGAAGGTGAAGCAGAAAGAGGGCAAGGAACCCAGGAACCACATTATGAGGAAGTCATGCCCACAGGGAGGCACCATCAGGTTGTGACCTGGTTGACAGACTAGACTCCATCCCTACACTTCAAGTTGACACAAAATTATCTAACTACCACACTTTGAATCACACAACCTGGTGTGCTTCTTCTTTGTGGACTTAGCTGTCACTTAATTTGTGGCTGTTGATTTTTTTTAAGTCAATTTATTGGGACTCATGCAATTCATCACAATACATAGATCAATTGTGTAAAGCACATCTATACATTTGTTGCCCTCATCATTCCCAAAATTCGCTTGCCTCTTAGGTTCCCGGAATCAGCTCATTTTCCTTTTTTCCCCTCCCCCTCCCTTCTTTCTCCCCCCTCCCCCATGCACCCTTGATAATTTATCAATTATTATTATATCTTATGTTACACTACCCGGCGTCTCCCTTCGCCTACCCCTCTGCTGCCCGTCCCCCAGAGAGGAGGTTATATGTAGATCCCTGTGATCAATTCCCCCTTTCTACACCCCCCTTCCCTCCTGGTATCGCCACTGTCACCCCTGGTCCTGAGGGGTTCATCTGTCCTAGATTCCCTGCGTTTCCAATTCCCATCTGTACCGCTGTGCATCATCTGGTCTACCCAGGTCTGCAAGGCAGAATTGGGGTCCTGGTAGTTGGGGGGAGGAAGCGTTTAAGAACTAGAAGAAGGTTGTGGGTTTCATTATTGCTATACTGAACCCTAAGTGACTCATCTCCCAACTACCCCTCTGCAAGGTATGTCGAGTTGTCTAGAGATGGGCATTGGGTCCCCATTGAGAACTATAGCATCTGGGGACTTAAAGGCTTGAAAGTAAACAAGCGGCCATCTAGCCCAGAAGCAGCAAAGCCCACATGGAAGCAGCACACAACCAAAGAGACCAGGCTGTTGGTTTTAAGACAAGCCTTTAAGACCCCAAATGTTATCCTCTTTGAAAGCTGGGCCCCATTTGATTTCTTCACCACACTTTTAGGTCCACCTCATAAGAACTAATTGTACTTAGATTAGGTTTGTTTAAATGAGAGCGCAAAATCCATTTATATATCTATGGTTGTGTATGTGGAGTAGAGAGCTCAATCTTTCTCCCGCAGAGCTGTTGGTGGTCCAAACACATAACTACACCACCACCAGGGTTCCCAGCACACTGAATAGACCGATTCAAATTATTTTTATTGGTATACATCATTCTATATTAATATTTCTAGATTTATCTAATCTTGCTCTTTTTGTAGCTCACGTTCTTTATCTATAAAGTAGATAAAATCAAACATCCCGTAGGATTAACATAAGAGTTCAATAAGCAATATATATAACAATATTACAGTGACTGACAAAGTTTATGTGTTTAATAGATGACATTTAAGGAGCAGTAACTTCATGATCTGTTAGTGTTTTGGTGGAATTTTAATAAAAATGCACTTAAAATATTTTCTAAATCCAAAAATATCATTCCAATGTAAAAAAAATTATTAATGACATCCTAGTCCTTATCTTACAATTTAAAGTCAGCAAAATCATCTTTATCATTTTAGTACTTTTTAAAATGTCAGGGTTTACTTTCAAACCTGTGAAAACCACAATATAAAAATACATTGCTTGATTATTATTTTTCACAATCATTTCACCTATATCACTTAATATTAAAATATATTTTTCATATTAACAGATCATAGAAATTTAATATTCATCAATATTAGTATTTTTCTACCTGCATATCTAGTTACATCCAGTTTCTTATAAAATTGCTTTGTTACTCCCACTCTCTCTTACAGTGGACTCTTTTGCTCAGTCCTTTTTTCACACAATTTAACTATTTCTGAATATACCACACTGGCCACTCCATGCCCATGTCCTATTTATTGGCTAGATCCAGAAGTCTAAATAAGGTGTTTCTTTCTCCATTTTCCCTTATTAAGGCCCTCTATGAAAAATACATATGTACACATTGTGTCTTGGCAAATTATAGAGATTTTCTTTAATATCCTTTATCCTACTTATAAACACAATCCTCAAACAGCTGGGAAATGGTATCTATTCTTTTAAGTATTTCAACTTGATATTAATTCCCAGGAGTACTTTATAATGTGATCATACCTCATTCAGTCTTTTCTCTTTTTCTTTTACTTACTGGTATAGTTTAATAAATCTAAATAATTATCTGAGCAGAAGTATGTCAGAGACCAAGATTTTACTTGAAGTTAAATAACCTAACTAGTCTATCAAGTGTGTTCATTCCATAAATTCTTACTGAAATTTAAAGTATGTGAAAAGTAGACTGTTCCATGTCTGCTTCATCTTTTCTATTGAATGAGAGGTCTTGAAAAATTATGAGGTTGTTTAATATATTTTGTGGAATTAAATCCACAGTATTTTATCCTGCAGTGAGTTCATTTGTACTGATTTTCGCATTCCCCCTCTATAATTTTTTTCTTTTTTTATCATTGTAATAATTGGATAATTCTTGACAAAACATTTATTTCATAGTCAACATAGCTTTCTCTTTAAAAAACAACTTGATTACTCCTTCACGGATCTGCTTGGTCTTCACTCCATAGACAATTGGATTCAAAGTAGGGGGCAGCAAAAGGTAGAGGTTGGCAATAAGGATATGGATGTGGTGAGGGATGGTGTGTGCCCCGAAGCGGTGAGTGAAGAAGTTGAAGAAAGCTGGAACATAGGTGATAACAATAGCGCATATGTGTGATGTGCAGGTGCTGAAGGCTTTGTGGCGAGCATCTGAAGATGACAGATTCAATACAGCGCGGATAATCATGGTGTAGGACACAGAGATACAGAACATGTCAAACCCTCCAATCAATATGGCAGCTATAAGACCATAGATAGCATTAATCTTGACATTGCCACAGGATAATTTGGCCACAGACATATGGTCACAGTACGTGTGGTAAATAAGGTTGCCCCGGCAGTAGGGAAGGCGCTTGATCAGGAAAGTGAATGGGATCATGAGCAACACACTTCGCATGAATGTGGCAAGCCCAACCTTGGTAATCACGGTGTTGGTGAGGATGGTGGAATATCTTAGAGGATAACAAATTGCCACATAGCGGTCCAGAGCCATGAGCATAAGCACCCCAGACTCCATGCCTGTCAACATGTGTATGAAGAACATCTGTACAAGGCAGGCATTAAAGTCAATCTTCTTGAGACTGAACCAAAAGATGCACAGCATATTAGGGACAAATGATGTACATCCACTAACATCTGTAAGCGATAATAGGGCTAGAAAGTAATACATGGGCCTATGCAGGCCCTCTTCATGGCTGACAAGATATATGAGTCCACAGTTCCCCACCATAGCAATCATGTACATGACGCAAAATGGCAAGGAGATCCAGATGTGTGCAGCTTCCAGTCCAGGAATCCCGTTGAGGATGAAGTATCTTGGTGTAAGACTGGAGCTGTTGGCTCTATGCATGATGGCCAACTAGAAGGTATATTACTCTCTGCACCAATAAAGGTGTTCTGTGCAAAAAGAGACCACCATTGTTATTTTCAGCCAAAAGCAAAAGGTGAACTCATATTTTGCCATAATATAAATTATGCAGCTAAGAAAGTTTTAATCTTTTTGTACACAGACTATATTGCTTGATTGTGGTGAGTGACCCTGATCCTGTTACAGAATCAACAGGATGAAAAAAGCCATATTCCAACTCAGGCAGCCCCTATGTGTTACAGCACAGAAACGTTGCAAGTGATTCGATGGTTATTATTTTTATGAAAGCAGCTTGGCATTCAGGCCTTTCTTCTTTTTCTCTCTCATTTTGCTCAGTGGGTTTGAGCCCACAAACTTTGGGTTAGCCAAGAAGTCCAACCTGTGCTACCCAATCACTCAGTGAAGTGAAAACATAATACCAAAGAAACTCTGTCTACAGGGTCGCTCTGAATTGAAATCAGCTTGATAATAATGGGTTTAATTTTTATTACTATTATTATTTATTTGTATGCCAAAAAGCAGGACAACCCACCAAAAACCCAATGCCATTAAGTCCATTCTGACACTTGCTATCTCATATATTGCATAGTAGAACTGCGTCAAAGATTTTCCTTGGTTGTAATCTTTAAAAAGCAATTTTCTGGACTTTACTTCTTCAGAGCTACTGATTGGATCAGAACCCAAATCTTCAGGTGAGCAACCAGTCATGAACCACTTTTGCCACCAAAGTGTCTTTGTCTGTATGTACCTATTCTTATTCCCAGTCTATCCCTTAATTCTTGCTTTTGTTCCCTTAGCTGATTTCCATATTATCACTCTGTTTAATAAATCTGGTTCTCCAGGCACTAACCCATGTAAGAGGAGGGCACTGTTTTTATCTCCACCGGAAAGGGAGAGAGGAACCAGATTTCAACCTGGTGCGCCAAGACTTGAAAGCAACATACTGGCATGAAGCAATGAACCAATAGGGAGGTCAGCAGGGCCAGCCCCAATCCCAGCTACATGAACCCCCTCCCAAAAAGAATGCACTACAGAGGACAGCACTAAAGCTACAGCTTAGGGGAGAGGGGTGGGTCTGCTCAGAACACACTGGAGCAAACAAAGAGGGAAAGAGAAAGAGAGAGAGTGGAATGCATCCTGGCCCACCAAGCCCCAAGGACATTATTCCAGCTCAGAGCAGCCAACACACAAAGAAGGCCATAGGGAAGGCCCCATCAGGATAAATGGAGTCCCCTCACTGACCCATAGCCATACAGGGAACAACACTGGAGACCATGTGGGAATTGTGCCCGGTCTGACCCCACCCCACCAGGTGAAACATGCAGGAAGTGCAACATAAGAACAAGGGGAACAAAGCAATGAAGTCCCTGAGCAATTAAAAAAGTAGACTTTGGGGGCAGGTCTTGGCACCTCATCCGACTTGCTTGGAAAATATTCATAAAGGTCAACAGACAGACCTGGAAGTATTTATAGGCTTTCCCTTTTTGTTTGTTTGTTTTTGTTTTTTTCATTTATGTCTATATAGGATAAGCAGGATAAATAATCCCTGGGAGGAAATATGGGACTGAGGGTTCTGTGAGTACATGAGAGAGGAAGAGGTGGGGGAAAGGAAGAGGGGAGCCAACAAACCCAGGTACAAGGGAACAACAAGTGATCTAAAATTGATGATGCAGAGGGTGTAGAATGCCTGGTGGCGCTTGATCAAATGCAATGTAGCTGAGAGAAATTATCGAAAGCCAAATGAAGGTCGAACATGATAGTTGCACAAAGGGAAAGTAAAAGTAATAGAGGTAATAACTAGACGGTAAAGGACATTTATAGAGATATAAATAAAGGCACATATACATGTAAATATATTTATATATAACAACAAGGACAAATACCTATATACATATAGGCTAACTATTAAAATAGCTGATGGACATTGGGCCTCTACTCAAGTACTCCCTCAATGCAAGAACACTTTGTTCTAATAACCTGGCACTCTGTGATGCTCACCTTTCTGGCATGATCACTGAAGGAAAAATGGGTGCATAGAAAATGTGGTGAAGAAAGCTGATGGTGCCCTGCTAACCGAAGATATAGCGTCTGGGGTCTTAAAGGCTTGAAGTTAAACAAGTGGTCATCTAGCTGGGAAGTAACAAAGCCCACATGGAAGAAACACAACAACCTGTGGGATCAGTTATCAGGCATCAAAAGACCCAGAAAAAACAATCATATGGATGCGAATGCGGAGTGGGAGTGGGGAGCAGAGTGGAGACCCATGTGATCATAAGGTATCGATGGGATCAGACATCAGAAAACACAAAACAAACAACCATTTCAATGTGAATGATGAGGATTGGAATGGAGACTCAAAGCCCACCTGTAGACAATTGGACATCCCCTCACAGAAGGGTCACAAGGAAGGGATGAGCCAGCGAAGATGCAGTACAGCACCACTGAAACATAGAACATTCCTCTGGTTTTTAATGCTCCCCCACCCACTATCATGACCCCAATTCTACCTTACAAATCCGGCTACACCAGAGCATGTACACTGGTACAGATAAGAGCTCTCAACACACAGTATCCAGGACAGATAAACCCTTCAGGAACAATAATGGGAGGGTGATACCATGAGGGTAGGGGGAAGGTGAAAGGAGAAAGGGGGAACTGATCACAGTGATTGACATATAACCTTCCACCCCAGGGGGATGAACAACAGAAACATGGGTAAAGGGAGACAGCAGTTGGTGTAACATATGAAAATAAAAATAATTTATAAATTATCAATTGTTAATGAGGAAGGGAAGGTGGGGGAGGGAGGAAAAAGTAAGGAGCTGATAAATGAGCTCAAGTAGAAAGAAAATGTTTTGAAAAGGATGATGGTAACATATGTACAAATGTGCTTGACACAATGGATGTATGGATTGTTATAAGAGATGTAAGAGCCCCCAATCAAATCATTAATAACTATCTAAATAAATAAACAACCCTGGTTCTCTTGTCCTCTGAAACCCCTGCCTGACAAATATTTATTCTTCCTCCAAAAAGTTTTTTCATATGTTTCCCTCAAGTTACAATAAATTAAATATGGAAACACCTATTTATTTTGCAAAAATATTGTGGGATTCAGCCTAAGTTATCTATAAGCCTAAACCTGACACGTCTCGGTTTTCAAATTAGAATTATCAAGAATAGGCAGCCAGAGAGTTATATAATGTTACAACTTACAAAGTATAACCATGAACATTTGAAGTATTTCCCTAGAGAATATAAAATTGTTTATTTCTAGTATATATGAAAAATGTTTGTAACATTTATGGTTAGCCGATAGCATTGTGAAATCATTAATTCTTATAGGGTCTTGATTTTCATCATAGTTCTAGGTAGGTCAGCACAAACTACATAATAATCATACTGTTATGTTTTATTTTGATGTATTCTTTTCAGTCCTCAAAAACTATAAAAAATGTATGGTAAAAAAAGGAATCCTTATTAATTTGTTAGGTCTTCACTTTCCCCCCATGACTGGGCACTTTAATGTAGCATGAACTCTTACCTGATTGAAATCATGACTGAAGCGTCATTTTTTCATTTTTGAGAAAATTCTTTAACCTATATATTTATAAACTCCTTATTACTTGTAATTACTTATTTTAAATTATAAACTTAAAGTATTATACTTCCCAAAGCATTGTACATATTATTGTATTTTTATATCACCTATCATATTTTAACATAACCTATAAACAGTTGTAATGAATTTTCATTTTCTTTTTTGAGAAGAATTAGCCTAGTCTTTTACAGTAATTGTTCTTTTACTATTAGTTTTCATTATAAATATTTTACAATTGATGCCATGTGAACATTCTCAATGTATAAACAGATCTCACTGCCACTGAGTCGATTCTGACTCGCAGGGACCCTGTAGCACAGAGCAGACCTGCTCCTGTGGGCTTGAGACTGACACTTCCTGGAAGTATAAAGCCTCATCTTTTGTCCTGAAGTGACTGAGGGTTTTAGCTGCCAATCTGGTGGTTAGCAACCCAATGTCCAACTACGATGCCCCCATGGCCCCTCAGACAAGTACTAGAAGTTCTGACGGAACTGCAAGAGCTCTTTTGGATGGTTGAACGAGTTGAAAACAACTGACAAACTCTTTAGCTTAAGTCTTGCTCCTTTTCAAACCAAAAGGTGAAAAATCATGAATTCTATTTTTCCCTCATTTTTAAACTATATCCTTACTTTCAACATGATCAGACTCCAAATATTATGTGAAAATTGGCATTAGGTAAAAATAGAGGATGACCCCCTGAGATTACAAAATAGAAGACTACTACCTCATTACATAGCTGCCAAATCACATCATCATACAACTACCAACACACACACACACACACACACACACACACACACACACACACACACCCCATCCTTACATAACTACCAAACCACTAGAACAAAGGCCCGGGCAACTTGACACATAATCTCAACTGTTGTAGCAAGTGTAACTCCTACTTTGGAGCCCAGTATCCCTTACTGTCAGATTTATATCATTACTGTACAGAATAGTTAGAGATGAGATTCTTTGCTATTTTTATAACTACCAAATATCATATAATGAAATAGTCAATACATTAGGGGAGTAGTTATTAAAACAATAAGTGGAGGGAGTTTTTATTAAAAAATAAAACTGTCCACATCATTTCCTCTCTGGGTGCCATTATTTTTTATTATGGTTTTATAAGACATCCTGGGCTAAACAATTAATATATTTTCACTTAAAATATTTTAATTTCTTTTATCTCTGAAATAGCATTACGTTTATGCCATATCCAATCTTGGTAATGCTATTTTTACAGTTTTTACAATTATCATTTATTTTCTTTCTTCCTTTTCTTTTCTCTCCCTCACGGCCTCTCTCCCTCCGCCCACGCCCCCTAAATACAAACCCTTTATGATGATGCGTTAACCAAGCAGAATGAGGTTTTGAGTTT